AAAAAAAAAAGTTAAATCATGAAAACTGTGGATCTATTAACCTTTTATCAGATGAATTGGATCGGTCTATTTATATCCATTTTCTCAATTTATCAATCTTCTTTACTCTTTGCATAGACCTGAACCAATAATGTCATAAAAACACCTACATAACAACCAAACCAAGTCATGCTGATCAGCCACATGAAGAAAAAATCGGAAACTCAAACAAGATTACATCAGGATATGGGTCATTTGGATTTCTTCAGAGATTAAGAACTCATTTGGTTGCTGGAGAAAATAGAATGAAATGGATTAAAAAATAAAAATAAAAATGAATTAAATCACCTTCCCACTTATAATAAATATGATAAACCTAATACCACATATTACAAACATAAGAATCACCATGTACTCCACAAATCTTATGAATGATTCTCAATCTTATAAAATAATTACCCTTCGCTTCTATGAACATGGTTAATTTATTTTTACTCCACAATCATTTTAATTTTAAATATATTTTTTTAATTCATTTTATCCATTTCTTTTCAGTAATCAAATGATATCTTTTAGAGAGGCAATCACAAAGTGTATGAGACTCCTGCAAATTGGGATTCATATTCTCTGCATATGGGTGCAGTGCAAAGCCAATCCAACAAATATAACGACCAGAAATTGACTTCTTGATTCAATAGCCATGGCAATTGCAAATGTAAACCATTGGATCTCTCAAACCAATGCTGGCATTGGTTGTTGCATATCCACGGATTTGGATCATCTCATTATCCTTTCTCTCCTCTTCTTCTCCTCATCTCATAGTCACCCATGGATTAAAAATTCAACAGTTGAGATTTAGTCAAATTCATATATTAATCATAGTCTACAGTTAGTTTACATTAGTGAAATGCTCAAATCAGATTTTAACAGTATATATCTATTTATTTATTTTTTCATTATATAGTTAGCAAGTTTGGCTTATAAAATTAGCAATACTCCTTATTCCAAGAAAAAGACAAAAATAGAATGATGACATGAAAAAAAAAACAGTGAAATAATTACCAACGAGGGTTGAGTTTAGCAAAAGATACTAGTTCCTCACAACATAGCAAATCAAGATTCAAATCCATGTAATAAAAAACAGTGAAGTAATTATATCAATAAGGATTTCAAGGTTGGAAAGTTAATGGAAAATTTTTGTCAGAAAAGTAAATGCATTAGTTTCTGAAAAGACTTGGAAAATTAGGAAGACAACAGCACTTAGTTCCAAAGACAAACACTACTTGAAAATATGCAAGGTGAATGCTTTATTTTCTACAACGCCTCCCAAAGCCAAGGCTTTTTTCTTGTGACGCAATCGACATGCATGATGAAATGAATTAAAGGATCGATCCTCAGATGAGTTCTGATAACTAAAATTCAGACTTTTAGAATAACATAGAGAATCAATCCTCAGATGAATTAAAGGATCAACTCCCAAAAGCATTTCCTATAATTTTCTACGAACGGCCACAAAACACATCGTTCCTGAAATTTTTAATAATTTTAATCTTTTTTCTATTTCGGTGATGAGAACATTGTTTTTTACAATATTAGAGAAACTTGATTTTTTAAAAAAAATAATTTAAAATTTACAAAGAATTGCAAATAACTAATATTTAGACTTTTAGATTAAAAACACTAAATGACAAAACTAGCTAGTCTTATTGGACTTGAGTGGTTCGTTAAAGGTGGCAAAAAGATTTGATGGCCAAAAAACAAAGTTGGCAAAATGATAAACACATGATGCATTATTTTATAAAGCGACTTGCAAAATTGGATGGAAAAGCACTTTGCTCTAAAGATGAACACTGAAGTATTTTCTACTCATGTCTTCCAATAACTATAGAGGATTTTTCTTGTGATGTGCGATATGCTGATGAAAATTATCAATTACAGGATCCTCCGACGACTACAAATAGTAAATGCATTATTTTCTACGGAAGATTTGGTCCAACACAAAGAAAAAGCAAGGAAGACCTATAGAAAGAAACTAGACCCTGTCAAAAAAAAAAGTTTTTTTTTTAATGACACGGTCCCTGTATCCTTTACAAATGCATAATGCGAATAAACAAATTCTGGGATTTGGATTCTCTCATTTTCTATCAGGAAATTAATTATTCTAACCCAATTTCTATTGGCGTACCAAAGCGCTTCTACATAAAAGTGCTCTGATATGTTGTTATCCTATTGGAGCACTTCTTTCATAAATGCTCCGATAGAAATGTGTTTTTTTTTCTCAATTTCATGTGCGCCTACTAGAGAGCTTTATATGTTATGCATGGAAGCATTTTGGAAGGAAAGACCTGGCAGAGCGCCATAAGCATTCCCATAGGTTCCGATTCAAATTTTAGGAGCATTTCTCTATAAAAGCGCACTCATTAGAGTGTTCCTATAATTTTTTTTTTTGTAATAATGCTAGATTACTTGATTGTTATGTATTATTGTAAATAATGCATAGAGTAGCAAAATGAGGGGTAAATAATTATCTTTCTACAACCTTGAGTAGGTAACTAAGGGGTTATTATAGAGTAGCTTGCAAGATTGTAGACACCAAGGGGTTATACCTGTAATTGCTCATAGATAGTTCTGTCATAAAGAGGAAGAAGATGTATATAGTGTGGAGACAAAACATTTAAATAATGACAAAACATTGTCAAATGTGGACATATTAAATTTGATTTTTCTTAAAATAACAATGATCAGCATACAAAATAACCATTTGAAACTAACGATGTTAAGATTAAGAGACTTAAAGATATTTTATAAAATTAAGGGATTAATTGAAATATTGTATAAAGTTAAAAGATCAAAAGTATATTTTAACTTTTTTATATAAAAGAAAAAGTTTAAATTTGTATGTATTTTATAAGAGTTTTAAGACACAAAAACTCTTATAAAAGTACATACAAATTGCTCATTGACAGTCCTCACATCGCAAGATTTGATCACATGTCCTTGTTTTTTAAATCCACAATCGCACTCACGTGAGTTTTTTTTTTTCTTTTTTTTTCTAAAATCAAATAGGCTTTCCTTAATCTTTGTAGCTTATAGTTTTAACACCCTTATAATTTATTCCATAAAATTAAATTTGATACAACTCAGGCTCTTTAATTTCTTGATCCTTGCACTTTATGACTCAACTACAACTAGTCTTTCCAGAAATAAATATTTTCTAAACTTGTAGGGACTGATTTATTAAATGACTTAAACTTGAAAAAGTTTAAGTGGAACTAGTTAAAGTTTAACGTCTAAATCATAAACGAGTAAAAGTACAACAACTAAATAATATAGTTTTTTAAGTATAAAATCATTGTTAAACACGTTTTTAAATATCGTTTTCCCTCACTAATTTATTAAACCCTTGTCGCACATTTTTTTTTTGTTCAGGAAGCGGTAAAGATACAAAGAATGAAATATAAACCCTTTGATCAATCCCATGTAATTTTAATTTTTATAATTGATTCTTATGAATTATATTTATTTTTTCAATGGTGAGCTGATTCAAATGAAATAACCAACAAACTAACCAAAGTTGCTTAATTATATGTGGCAAATGTGCCAATTAACATGGAAAACAATTATGATTGGCCTCAAATACTTAAACTTCAATACATTCACCTTCAAAAAGTAGTGATAACATAATACACTAATCTTAACGACAATACTTAACTGACATGATACAACAAGCCAAACATAGAACCAAACAAAAAAAAAAGACAAAAAAACTCATAAAACCATCCAAAGCCCGAATCTCTATCTGTTTCATTCTTCTTCAATTTGCATGAGCCCTCCTTCTTGTCCTTTTTGCTTTCACAGGTTGACTTCCAAAAATTTTAACAAGCCAATGAGGTTTCCCAATTGAGAACACAACATGTCCCATGAGGATTCCGAATACCATTCCACATCCATATCCCAAGGCTACTGGTTTCCAATCAAATCCAAATTTCTCATTAGATTCAAAAGTTGATGAAGGTCCATCCGTATTGCAAGTTTTTGACAATGGAACACCACACAATCCTACATTTCCCTCATATGAATCACTTTGGAATGTATCAAATTGTTTACCTCTTGGTATGGTTCCCTCAAGCTGATTTTGTGAAAGGTTCAAAATAGAAAGAAAGTTGAGATTTGTCAATTCTTGAGGAATGTCACCCACAAGCTTGTTACTTGATAGATCTAACCATTCTAGGCTTGTCAAATTCCCCATTGATTTTGGAATAGAACCAGTGATTCTATTGTGGGAGAGATTTAGTCCTATTAGTGCATGTAGCTCTCCAATAGCTTCTGGAATCTCCCCATCCAACCTATTATTTGACAAGTCCATAGTGCCGAATATTTTCAAGATCCTTTCCAGCTCTATGGTAAAACCTTTCCATGTGATCACCACTGAATCCTCATATGAATAATTTTTACTTCCCATATATTGTGAACCATCTTCAACATCATCTATTTTCATCATTCCTTTAAACTCCTTGATGTATGTTGTTGGCAAAGATCCATTAAAGTGGTTGTTGGAAATGTCAAAAATCCTTAACTTAGGGAATTAGGAATGGTCCCATAAAATCTATTTTCTCTTAAAACAAGCACTTGTAACTCTGGAAAACTTTCAAGCAACTTAGGAAATGCATCCTCAATCTCATTCTGTCCAACATCAAAAATTTCGAGCTGATTGCAATGAGCCAAAGATAGAGGCAATGATCCCTTGAATCGGTTGCTATTGAAATGTAGAGTTTGTAGGACATTTCTCTTTAAAAAATTGTTTGGTAAAGTTCCAAAAAAATTATTCATCTGTAGATCTAGAACAACGAGATTTGGGAGGGCAACAAGGCATTGTGGAATGGGACCTGACAAGTTGTTGTGAGACAAGTTGAGTATCTCAATTGAGCTTGCATTGCAAAAATGAAAGGAAATATCTCCCTTAAATTTATTGTTTGAGACTGAAAAAAATCTAGCTCTGAAGAATGGAATTGGGAGGTTTCCTTCCAACTTGTTGAAGCTAAGATCAAGAATTGTGACACTTGTATTTGAAAGGGATGAAGGCACTTGACCATTGAAATTATTATTATTAAGTTCCAAAGAGTGTAATTTATTGAGCTTTCCAAACACTTTTGGTATTCCACCACTAAAATTATTTATTGAAAGATCTAAATCTTGGAGACGTTCAAGGTTTCCAAGTGAGAGTGGCAGTTGACCACTAAAACTATTATTGGAAAGATATAAGGAAATCGGATTTACAAGTGTTGAAAGAAATGAAACCCCACCACTAAAATTATTGTTTGAAAGAACTAAGTCATTGAGACGTTCAAGGTTGGAAAGTGATGGAATTTGACCACTAAAGTTATTATTGGAAAGATTTATGTAAGTGAGATTTACGAGTGTTGAAAGAAATGAGATCCCACCACTAAATTTGTTCAACGAAAGGTCCAAAGAAGTGAGTTGAATGAGATTCTTGAAACTTGGAGGAATAGGCCCTTCAAATTGGCAATTTTTGAGATCTAACTCTTCAAGAGACTTCAAATGGCTTATAGAATTTGGTATCTTTCCTGAGAAAGGGATCCCAGTGAGAATCAAACTTGTTAGAGGAGAGCTCCGGTTGAGCTTTGAGATTTGTACCTTGACATCTGTATTCCAGCTCATATCTAGATATTTAAGATTTTCTAAATAGAAAATTCTATTTGTGATATTACCATGCAAAGAAGTTTCTTCAAGAGAAAGTTCAATCAAAGATGATGACAAATTCATGAGCAAAGAAAAAGATTTTGTGTAATAGAGGACATGTTCACATGGTCTAACCTTAGTACCTTTAAATTAGTTAAGTTTAGAATCAGCATTTCCCAAGTAGATAGTTCAAGTCTAAGTGATGAACTCCCCTTCATACCAAAATTTGAAGACAAGTCAAGTGAGGCTAATTTAGACAACTGTGAGATCTTAGATGGGATTTCCTCAACAAAATTATTGCCTTCAAGGTTTAAGAAAGTGAGATGTTCTAGGTATGAAAAGAATGAGATCTTGCCACTAAACATGTTGTCAGAAATGTCCAAATAAGTTAGTTGGGTAAGATTCTTGAAACCCAAAGGAACCCGCCCTTCAAATTTACAACTACTAAGATCTAAATGACTAAGATATTTTAACTTTCCAATGGAATCAAACACTCCTGAGAATGCTGCGTAACTAAGATCCAAAAATGAAAGAGAAGAGCTCCAATTGGATATTGGAAGATGATTGTTGAGATTTCTATTCCATGACAAATCTAGTTGCTGAAGATTTTTCAGACAAAAAACATCATTTGTGATTTTCCCTTGCAACTCAGTATGTTGAAGTCTAAGGGAGACCAAAGAGGATGACAAATTCATGAGTAAAGATAAGGAGCTTGGTGAAATAGAAGACATATTTACATAATTTAAAGCAAGTTCTCGCAAATAAGTCATGTTTAAAATGAGCTTCTCCCATGTGGATGTTTCTAGTCTCAAAGGACTCCACTTCTCAAATGAGTAAAATCCATTCCAAGACAAATCAAGAGAGACCAATTTTGACGAATATGCAAATTTTGATGGAATTTCACCAATGAAAAAAGAGTGGCTTAAGTTTAGATATGTGAGAGAAGGAAAATTACCAAACTGAGATGATATCAAAGACCCACTAAAATTATTGAAAGCCAAGTTGAGTGATTGGAGATGAGATAGTCGGAAGAGGCTATTATTTGGAAGGAGTTGACCTTGAAGCCAGCTACAACTAAGATCAAGGCCAATCACATGGCCTGACATGGAGTCACATGTGACCCCATCCCACAAGCAGCAATTTGAATAATTCCCCCATGAAGCCATCTTGGGGTAAGATGAATTCTCAAACCGAGTGGTATATGGGTAGTAGTCATCAAAATCCTCATCACATTCGATTGAAGCAGAATGATTAAGAGAGAAAGAGTGTTTGAATTGGAGAAGTGCAGAGGAGTCATGAGAAATACAAAAAGGCAGGTTGAGAGAAGAAGAAAGGGAGGGAGAAAGAAAGAACAAGTAGAAGCAAAGCATCATTGCAAATGCCATAACTGAAGAACATAAGAAGGAAATGATTGAGTGAATTGGCATCCACAAGATGAAGCTTCATTTATAGAAGGAGTCTCGTAATGGCGCGAGGGACCTACATCAAGACTTTTCATTTTTCAAAGCCTATAATTATTGTGTCTTGTTTTTCGTCTTTTGAATTCATGAAATCTCAACTAAACTAAAATGTCTAAATACTTTTTTCTTTAAAATTTTTCAATAAATGTTCTTTCAAAGGACGAATAGTAAAAATAGTTGTGTCTATTGCAAATTAAATTGGCGTATCCTCAAACTATAAGATCGACCATTGTACAAAATGGTTCTGTACTTTTGTTAAAAAAAATAAATCAGTACTGTGTTTCTATATTGTGGATGAGGTTGGAGAGCTATCTGGAATTTGCATTCGCATTATTGCTTAACTTGTTTAAAATAAATGAATTCCAAATTTGATTAATCAGTGTTAGTTGATTAAGAAATTAAGGAAGCTATTACTCTTAAAATTTTTTTAATTCATCTCATATTTTTTTATTTCTTAATTCGCTACAAATTAAAATAGAACTTCATGACGTGTGGGAATTTGTCACTAATTAGGACCATAAAATTTCGTTTGAGAGCGTGGAAAAAGAACGACTCTGCTGCCAATATGTGCCGTAATTTTTTTTTTAAAGGAATAAAAGGCATGATTCTAACATGCTTTCTGTTGATGTATTTAATTTAGCTATAAATAGTCTCGTATAAATAATTTTTTCCCTAAATTATACATAAAATTGATCTAAACTGTTAAGGACTGTAGTAAAAAGCATATAAAAAACATATAGTTTGTAAATATTAAATCTGGAACATTGAAAATTTAATTTAATGGCTAAAATGTGCAAAGAAAAAAGTGGAGGAACAAATAAACAAAGATAAGCCAAGTTCCAACAAAACTAGTAGACCTTTTTTCGCTATTAGTATAAATATTAAATACAATAAATAAATCACTTCGATTTCTTTTTCAGTTGACTTGGAAAATATTTTGTCATTTTTTATTGACGACTTCGAAAATATTTTGTGCACGTAATCTATGTGTAAAAGAATATTGTTCCTTTATAATACGATGGGCTTGGAAATGAATCAAAAGAATCCCATTCACTCATTCAAAGTAAATAACACGTTATAGAGGTCTATGAGATATCTAATTAATTTATAGCAAATTAATGGTGGCTAATATTTTGTCTATAATTTGTTAAAAATGCTCCTTATCAGATTTTGTCGAAATATTTTGTGCACGTAATCTATAGAAACTTCTCTGTTATTTCTAAAACACACACTTGTGTCTTTGAAGAACAAAAAAAAGCAAGTATGGATGTATTTATATAACTAAATAATCGAAGACTGATTTCTTTTTTTCTGGACTAAAATATACATTTAATTCTTTAACTTTATATATCATTTTATTTTAGTTTTTAATTTTATAAAATATCTTTTTAGTCCTTTAACCCTAACACTGTTCATTTTATCCCAATAAATTTTTATAATGAACTTTCAAATATTGACAAAACATTCTTAAATGTTGACATATTAAGTTTAATTTTTTTAAAATAACAATAATTGATACAAGAAATAATCATTTGAAACTAATGATATTAGGGTTAAAGGATTAAAAATATAATTTGCAAAATTAAAGGATCAAATTGAAACCTTATATAAAATTAGAGGGCTAAAATTATTTTTAGCCTTTCTTTCTTTCTTTCTTTCTTTATTTGAAGAATCGACATGTGCAACTTTCTACACACTATCATATAAATGGCCTAGAAATTAAGAAAATAATGACAGGAAAAAAATTAACGAAACTTGGTGGCTCTTTCTTACTTGACTTCAAAGTCTTCGCTATGATATACACAAATATTAGACAAATGATTTTACAAGATTTTGCAGGGTACCTGGGTCTTTCTTACTTGACTTCGAAGTCTTCGTTATAACTTTTTTAATATATTTTTGTTATAAAATTTTGGGTTAACTGTCATTTTTTTCCCTCTCAACTTTATACCTTGAAGGATTAGTGGACACCCTCAACTGACATATTTTATAATAAACAAATTAAAAAAAGTTAAATGTTGAGCCCAATAATAGTGAACAGATAATGAGTAAATAGCAAGGTGATGAGGGAGGAAATATTTAACATTGACAGATAAAATTGATCTATAGTTGAGTTAAGAGTGTCCAGCGACCCTTTGAGTAAAATTGAGAGGCAAAAATGATACTTAATCCATCATTTTAATGCAAGTGCTTACAAAATGGATGGTTTCTTTTTCTTTTTCACTTGACGTGGAAAATTTTTGTGTAAGCAATGTTAATTGATGTTTAAGACTTTTCCTTATATATAACTTGACCAGTGTGAAATTGCACCAAATGCATTGAATTTAATTTGAATCATTCTAATCCACTCGTTCAAAAGTAAATAACACGGTATCTAAAAAAAAAAAAAACTTTTCTTTAACATAAAAACATGCCCCATAGCTGCTAAACACTATATCTATCAATTTACTCTATTTTACTCCATCCGTTAAAAAATGTAAGGTATTTTTAACTGAATCTCACCCCCCAATAAAGTTCTTACCTACTTTCAAACTAACCCTCTCTTTCCATATTTATCCCAATTAACTACCCTATAATAAATATAAAGTCACCATCAATAGAGGCACTTTTGGAAAAAAAACAATGATTACACCTCGAAAAACTAAAAATATCTTACATTTTTAAACATCCAACTCCTCAAAAAATACCTTACATTTTTGAATGGAGGGAGTATTTTTTTTTATGATTGAACTCTATTTTATATTTAAATATGGACACAAACCACAAAAATTGAAAATCAAAATTATTTCCATATACTCAGACTTCAGCTTTACTTGAATTATTTCCAAGTAACTCCGCTTTTATTACTAGGAGCATTAAGTTAAAATATTAATCCATTGTGACAAAGAAATCATAATAGCATCCAAAGCTCTAATCTCTAGCTGCTTCATTCTTTTATTTGCAAAAAAAATTTGATATATCCTCCAAAACCCATATGTTGAATAAAAAGAAAGAGAAACAATTCCATCCATTCTCAAATAAGATACAAGAGGGAGGATTTCTTTGGTACTGAATATAAGACATTGGAAAGGTTACTTTCATGCATTAACTAATTATGTTTCCAACTTTAATGCAAAGAAATCTGTTGAAGGTACCAGTGTAGAGAGTTAAATATATTATCTTGAGTTTTTTATTATAATTTATTAAGTTTAATAACGAGATTTTCTTATTAACAATATATCCAAATATTTAATTGTTAATATATCACAATAAAGTTGTATAATTCATGTAATTGATCTCACTTGCTTATGGTTATTGCATAAATCTTCTCCCAAATAGGAGTTTTATTATAGAGATAAAATTAACTTTGAGGTTAAGGTGCAAATATATTCATAAATATATATTAACATGAATATCAAAAGCTTCTCATGTTCAGTATATAGACTTAGTATCCCCCACTATGGGCAGATACTAGCAAATGGATTACTTCAATTTCTTTTTCAGTTGACTTGGAAAATGTTTTGTGTATGTAATTCCTGTCTAAAAGAAGATTGTTCCTTATTATATCACGATTGGCTTGAAAATGAATCACAAAAATTCATTCACTCATTCAAAGTAAATAACACGGTATCTAGATATTTGAGATATATCTAATTAAGTTGAGAAAATAATAATGTTGGTTAATAATCAATTGTCTATACTTTTTCAAAAGACGGTACCCTATAAGACTTTGTAATAACTTTAATCGACGTAATTTGATTTTAACTCATGTTACTTTTATTATATATGCATGAGATTAAAATATATTGACTTTTCTTCGGTTTTGCTTAAATTAGTTGTTATAGAAACTTCTCTCTACTTTTTCTACACACACTTATGGATAGCTTCTATTTCTTTTTCACTTGACTTGAAAAGTTTGTGCAATTAATGTCAACTGATGTTTAAATAAAAGCCTCAATGTCATGAGCACTTCCATTGAAAGGCTGGTGGTGTCACTTAAATGGGCTACCCACAAAGGTTTTGACCAATAGAAGGCCGAGTAAAGTGAAGTACTGTGAAGTGGAGTTGCTAAGGATATCAGCTCTTTAATAGAGTAGCATTGTCATGAGTCTTATATCGAGAAGCCATACAAGTAGAGTGAGATTTATAAGCATAAAAGACTTTCTCATATAATAAGTTAGTCTTTTGAAATTGACTCTCTCTTTGGACTTGTAATCATGATAGAGTATTAAGTTAAAATATTAATCAACTGTGGATGGGGATTGTGGATTAGTCAAAATATCAATTGATTTAATTTCTTATTTAAGACTTACATATAATTCTCCCTTGATTTATACAACCTCATAAGGTCCTGCTGGTTCCCACCAAGAAATTACAAAAGCTGTTAGCTGAAAAGCATTGTTCTGTAATGAAGCTTGAGTCAATAAATCAAGACTCCCCGAAACAATTATATCAGGCATTGTCAGAGTCAAATAATAAAGACCATATATAAAGGCCAAGCATATGTTATTTAATTCTTGTTAAATATGGAAGAATGAAGCTCATGTTTTGTCTAGATTTCTTAAGATTTATCTCAAATATAAGATACTAGAGGGAGGATTACTTTGATTCAGAATATTTAAGTGTAAATAATGTTCGAGTGTATGTGAATTTGTGTTAATGCGAGAAGTCTCACAATAGATAATTTCAAACTTCATAACTAATATACAATAAAATGTAAGCACTCATAAACTTGAGTTTTGATGTTCTAAACTAAGATGTGATGTTCTTCCATTCCATTGTTAATTGCACATTTGTTCATTGGGTTAAAGTGACAAAAGAAACACGCATGACAATTTACAATATTTTATTATAATTATTTGATAATTTCAAATCTCCCATACACTTAAGTCATTCGAAATGTCATTCACTGTAGCTTTCTCTTTTCTTCTTGTTTTCATTTCCAC